CCTTTGATGGTTCGTAATTCATCTGTCACTTTTTGAAAAAGCTTATTATGAACACATCATCATGCTTGCAAAACAAACAAATGGACAACAGCAACAAAACCCAGAGAGATCAGGCAAAGCAAAACCTTGGGAGCGGGACAAATTGCATCTTCTGCTGCGGGGACCCACAGCACAGATCTGCAGGAATAACCTTCAGGTGGGGAATCTCTGCTGCCTTGGGCCTCTTTTCACCTGTAGATCACGTAGCTCACGCAGTTTTCCTCTGTGCAGCCCTCTCAAGCAGTTTTCAGCACAGCTGAGGGACGGGACCTGCAGTGTATCAGAGGACACACCTCAGTGGACCTTTGCCAGCAAAGAACGTGCAACATGGAACCAAACCTGACGCACACAGCCGCAGATGAGGAGCCAGCTACATTCACACCACACAGAGAGCGCACACTGCAGAGAAGGTACAGATCACGGCAGCAGAAAATACGGATGCAGACGAGGGGAACAGTGAGTCAGCCGGCTGTGTGGCAGGGAATAACTATTCATAGCACCCTGTTCCACTGTTTTCTAGCGTCACTGCAAAGGAGAGAAATAAGGGGACAAGACAGTACATACCATAACTATGCAGAAGGCAAGGCAGAGAAGGCAACCAAATCCCATTTTAGAAGCTTTCAGAAATACAGTCTCCAGTAAAAAAAGGAAATTTGTACATTTTGTGCATTGAAAGCTCTCACAGATTCACATAAAATGTGAAAAACAAACAAACCAGACAGTCCAAGGGCTGAAGAATGATTTGCTCTGAGGATTTGTACTTGGGATTTTTCTGTATTGACTTTTTATTTGTGTATTTGGTAAGCAAATAATTTACTTAAAAATAAAGTTTAAAGTTTCTGTATTTAGTTTCTTGAGCGTGGAAGTGGCATTTTGTTCACATGGAGAACTTCTCACTGACTGCACCTTTCATTTTAGATTTCACTAAAATCACCTTGGAAATTATGCACACAAAAATAAAAATCTTGAGGAACCTCACTACAAGTATGGCACCAGTTTGTTTGGTTGTTTTTTAAAGCAACTAACACAAACTTGAGACTTTCATTGCTCAGTGAAGCCCTGAACATTCTCTTAGAAAGCTCTTTTGGAATCACCAGAGATAGCTTCCCAAGTAGGTTTTGATGCTTTGATCAAGGACTGACATATGAATCTACCAAGAATTCAAAATGCCTTTCCCACTGCCTTCCCCTCTGTTGAATTCACGTGGCCACGAGGAGCAGCACGAGACCTCATACAAAAGAGCTTCTTCACAGTGAGGGTGACGGAGCACTGGGACAGGCTGACCAGGGAGGTTGTGGAGTCTCCTTCTCTGGAGATATTCAAGGCCCGTCTGGATGCCTACCTGGGCAACCTGCCCTAGGGAACCTGCTTTGGCAGGGGGGTTGCACCCGATGATCTCTTGAGGTCCCTTCCAACCCCTACAGTTCTGTGATTCCGTGTGATTCATCTTCTGCTCACTCCGCTGAGGCCAGTCCTTCAAGCTCCCTGAGAAGAGGCCGAGGTCCCCACGCAGCTCAGTGTGCCACCCCTTGCCGTCTGCTCTCCTAAGCCTCTGCCTACAAAGCTGAAGTTGAGCAGTTCAGGAGTAACCTGGCCTCCCTGAGACCCGGGGGAGTTTTGTCACAGGCACCACCACACCAGGACGTGCCTTTGGTTCTTTGCAGGCTTAATTTTCTTCTCTGTCCCCAGGACAGCAAATGGCATCATTTGCACACTTAGCTTCCAGCATGACAATATTCTGCTGCCCTGGAGCACTTATTTTGCCAAGGACAGTGCGAGACATGCATGGACAAATGCTGTGTCTGATGGGATGGGGTGGCCCTGGAGGTCCCTGGCACCAGAGGCTCAGAACAAGCAGGACAGCAACCCCCAGAACAAGCTGCCACCTCTGGTCCCCACACCAGGTGTTTGCCTGCATGTGCTGAGAGCAAAATAAACGGTGGTATTTGGGGCAGAGAGGAATCCCCACCTGCTGGGTGCACTGAGAAGCACGTTGAGGACACCTGCCTGGCCCTGGGGGAGGACTGCAGCAGGAGACGCATTGGCATTCAGAGCACAGGTCGTACCCACGTGGAGCTCTGCCTTCCCTTTATCTCCTAGACCACAAATGAATAACCATTTAAGCGCATTTGTTATTTAAATAAGGCCAAAAAACAGATCACGGTTATTATGAAAACCACTGCACTGTGAAACCTGTAACATTTAAATCCAACTGTTGACCTGAAAGAGCTTCAGCTCATTACGCTCCCAGGGAGAAAACAGGGGTGAGCGAGAGCTGCCGAGGGCATTGGCGGTGGCACGTAATTCTGTTGGGTAACGAGCTCCTCAATAAACCTCCCCAACAGATTCTGTTAACATCTACCTGTCGTCCTCCCTAGGCATTTTCATCCTCTCTGAGCATCTGAAGAGACCGTCTGGCTATAATCAAATATAAATCTCAGAACATTTCCAAGCCTTGGAGGATGTCGGAGTCATTTCAACTCTTCACACGTCTTTGAAGAGCTGCCGTGCTGCTGGGACCAGGCCTCCAGCTCGCAGCCAAGCAGCACCCTGCTCCCCGTGCAGAACTGCACTGGGAATGCCAGGAAAACCCCTTTGGGAAGGAATTATGCACGGCAAGTTTAGCCCGTCAGCCTGCATCTCCCAAGGTGGCGTTCTCCACATGAGAATCTGCGTTCACAACAAGTAACATCACTTGGCTACACCAAGCCCATGCTCAACTTTCAGGGTTTGTTTGCTGCAGTAGGGCCCTTTTTTAGGATAGTGTTTAAGCCCATGCCCAACTCAGCACCAGTGGTGAATACAGAGGCACCACAAAGTGCCCTCATTCTGACTGAGGTGCCTGTGCACCTGCTTACGCCATGCCCCAGTGCCAGCAGCACACAAGGAGGGTCCTTCACAGCTAATTGCCACAACTCCTTCGGTTTTCATAGCTTGAACATACATTATTCGGTGTTTCTCTTTACTTGTGATGTAAGTAACTACCAGCACAGCACACTCCTGCATGTCTTCCCAGCACTGCCCTCGGCCCATGGCATGTCAGCTGTGAGCAGAAGCAAGGATAAGCAAGTTCCCCTCTTGGCCAAGGGTCTGAGCTCAGCCCCTTGCCCTCCGTGGCTCTGCTGGGTCATACACCGAGCTGAAACACCCAGCAAAGACTGATGCTCCTGCAAGGGCAAGTCTTCAGTTTCCTCCTGCTCATCTCACCTGAGGACACCAGGACTTGCTCACGTCACTCCTACAAGCAGGCTGACCACAGATGTTAGCAAGGGGCAAGCAAGGCTTCTCTTGCAGAAATTCACCATCCAGTCCACAAACACACATGAAGATCTTGCTTACCAGCTACGTGGTATGCACTGAATATATGGAAACCAACTCCTAAGTGTGCCCAAGAGGGTTCACCTGCCAAGGACTTGCCTCTTTGCCTCCACATGGCTCAAACAAAAGAAATCAGCTAGGACAAGGCTGCTGCTCCAGGGTCAGTACGTGCAGCTGAGGAATGAGATCGTCTTCTCCAAGTGCTCTTCGGGGGGCTCAGTAGGTCAGGTCACTCAAAGCCCTGCCAATCCCATTTTCCACACTTCCAGGGATGGGAATCCACAGCTTCTCTGGACAACCTGTTCCAGGGCCTCACCACCCTCAGTGTGAAAGATTTCTTCCTGATATCCAATCCAAATCTATTCTGTTTCAGGTTAAAAGCATTGTCCCTCATCCTTCACTACGGGCACCTTGGTTTAGATGCCGTTAATTACAGCAGCACTGACTTGCTTATGCTGTAGCAACCCACAGGCAATGAATCAGTGAAAAGGGCAATGAAGGTGTAGCACCGCAGGTCTGGGTTTCAGAGACACCGATAGCCATTCACCCTGAAAAAGCGAGTCCATTATATTTTAATTCTGGAAAGTCACTGCAGGTGGCCTGCCCCTTTGATAGCACGAGGGCTGCGTTAAATAAATCCTGCTGTGACTCTGTGCTGGTCACTGCAGGCAACGGCAGCAGCGGCTGCGTAACTGTGAGTCAGCCAGCTCAGCGTCAGTTCTTCTGAAGCACAATAAATAAAACTCGTTCCAGCTATCAGCATTTATGGGTTGAAACTACCCTGCAGAAAATTTGCACTGCTTCTGCCCTTAATTTAATCATTTTCCTGAATTTTTCAGGGCCACCTAAGCTGGTACCACACCACAAGGCCACTACAGCAATATCAGCATAAATTGGTGTAAGAGAATGGAGAACCAGGCCTTTTGTCTTTAAAAAAATTTAAAATTGTCCCGCTCTACTCTGCGCTGGTGAGGCCTCACCTCGAGTACTGTGTGCAGTTCTGGGCACCACAGTATAAAAAGGACATGAAACTGTTGGAGAGTGTCCAGAGGAGGGCTACGAAGATGGTGAAAGGCCTGGAGGGGAAGACGTACGAGGAACGGCTGAGGGCACTGGGCCTGTTCAGCCTGGAGAAGAGGAGGCTGAGGGGAGACCTCATCGCAGTCTACAACTTCCTCCTAAGGGGGTGTCAAGAGGCAGGAGACCTTTTCTCCATTAACACCAGCGACAGGACCCACGGGAACAGGGTTAAGCTGAGGCAGGGGAAATTTAGGCTTGACATAAGGAGGGGGTTCTTCACAGAGAGAGTGGTTGCACACTGGAACGGGCTCCCCAGGGAAGTGGTCACTGCACCGAGCCTGTCTGAATTTAAGAAGAGATTGGACTGTGCACTTAGTCACATGGTCTGAACTTTTGGGTAGACCTGTGCGGTGTCAAGAGTTGGACTTGATGATCCTTAAGGGTCCCTTCCAACTCAGGATATTCTATGATTCTAAAAGCTCAACCGTGGCTTTACTGACTTCCATGGCCAGTATTTTACTCATTGCATCCTCTTCCCTGTAATTCACAGAAGTGAAATAAACACTCCACAGAGGTAATATCTGAATTTGGTCCTTATTTAGTTAAATAAAGGCACACAGTGATAGTTACTAATTCAGTAAACAACCTTTTATTCTGTTATTTTAAAAGAGGTAATAGCTATAGCCTGCATTAAAAGTACTTCCAGAAAAAAACAGGTAACGGAGGAAATACCAAGGACTACAACTTTTCTAGAACCACACACCAGTTTCCCTGATCATAATAACTCTTCTGAACCCTCACACCATCCAGGGATCTGCACGCTGCTTCCAGCTCTCCTTCACAGAAGACGTGGTAATAGCGGTGGAAAACAGGGCTGGGTCCTTGCGATTCCTTAGAGCCAGCTGGAAACAACACAGTCTCAACACTTTCCCCTCTCTTTTTAGTGCCACCTTTCAGGTGCCAGGGAACCAGCAAATCCTGAGAGTGAAAGGAGGTTCGGTTGGTGTGAACAGGCAGTCTGCAGTCCGCCACTGGCTTTGCACCACAGCCTTTGTCCTTGGAGTTGTCGAGGAGTTGGTCAGTACACGCTGAGTCTTGGCTGCTGCTCTCAGGCATCTGATCACCAGGCAGTCTCTGGGCCATGCCAGAACTGATTTCCTCCTCCTTGTCTTTATTGCCGTGCTTTTCCTTAAGGTATTTAGACTTCTGGTTCTTGTATTCTTGTTCCATTGCCCAGACATAAATGAGTGCTGTTCCCCCAGGTCTCAGAAGCCGGGCTAGTTCACGGAGAGCTGCCAGCCTCCTTTCCTACAACAGAAAAGCAGAAGTGGGAAGTTAGTATATAAACAGACATAATAACAGACCTGGCAGCACGTCCTGCTTACTGCCGTCCATCTGCCCACCCCCGATGCAATGAAGACCAGAGGAATTTTTTCCACTCTGCATTTTGGGCAACGTCCATTTCTGCCTGACATGTGTGGGTACAGAGCACCATAATCCACTAATGGCCAAGCACTGGTAAATAACTCTTAGAATCACAGAATCATTCAGGTTGGAAAAGACCTCTAAGATCATCTGGTCCAACCTTTAACCTAGTACCACCAAGTCCACTGTTAAACCAAGTCCCTAAGCACTACATCTACACATTTCTTTAAGACCTCCATGGATGGTGACTAACAACTTCCCTGGGCAGCTTGTTCCAATGCTTCACAACCCCTTCCGTGAAGAAATTTTTCCTAGTAACCAACCTAAATTTCCCCTAGTGCAACTTGTGGCCATTTCCTCCTGTCTTATCACTTTGTGCTTAGGAGAAGAAACTGACCTCCCTCCCACTACAACCTCCTTTAAGATCATTGTAGAGAGCTATAAGGTCTCCCCTGAGCCTCCTCTTCTCCAGGCTGAAGAGGAGAAGCTCACACAACCCAGAGAGAAGGCAGACAAATGACCAGTCTCCCTGTTGTTCTTTGTAGATTAAGAATGAAGGCACATAGGAAAAGCCATGAGATCTGTTCAAGATCTGAGCTAGGAAGTAACGTATCTGCTGATTCCCAAAGCAAAGCCCCTTCCCCAGCGCCATTAATTTTAAGCAGAACAAAATGAAACAGAAACACCCAGAGATCCAAGTGTCAGGAGGAGCAAGTGCACCTGACAGGGAGAAAGTAAAGAGAATGTCTCAAAGGCAGCAGCACTGTAACAGCTTAACTCTGCTCAGACAACACCTTATTTGAATTAATAGCTAACGCTAGTCTTCAATTTCACCCTACTTGTTCTTCCCTTGTGCTCCCATGAGCCCAAACCAGCAGATTTTTATACCATTAGCAGCTGTGCACAGCCATACAGCAGTACAGTGGAGCACAGGGGGCGACTTACGGCTGTTGAGAAATGGTGAATGACGGCGATAGAGATGCAGGCGTCACAGGAACCACTTCGCATTGGCACTGACAGGGCATCGCCGACAAAAGCCTGGAAATTTTTTTCTCCACAAATATCCACAAGGTTTTTGCTGCGATCGCAGCCAATCTGTAACAGAAAGCGTTTCATTAAGCTTTTCCTAAGAGGACAATTACAAGACTGGAAAATGGTTTTCACTCGATGCTTACACTAATGGAGTCATCACAGTCTCCTACCAAGGTAACACATTTTAGTTCAAAACAAAAAAGCAAGTGAGCATGAGAAAAGTGTCAAATAAGCAGCAAATAGGATTCCTGGGTACAGACAAAAAAGAAAGAAAAAAAGTGTTTACTTAAAACTGAAAGATAACAGATGGGCTATTAGACAGCTCATTATAGCACCTTGATTTTGAACCAGCATACGACAGAACAGCTTTCAGCACAACATTTCTCAAAACTGGTCTCAAAAATAGCATAGGAGCCAGAAAATAGCAAAGGAAGAGATGACCCAACCTAACCTTGGTATTGTCATTTCCTTTTTATTGCCACTTGTAATCCGATGACATTTTAAGCAGCCGAATTCTGAACTCACAAATGCTGAATCTACAAGTATAAACACCAAAGTGTCGACTTCGGTGGCATCTCTGAGGCATGTCACACAGCTTCATTAATCATCCAGGTTTTGTCATTTCAGTGTAAGAAAGTGCTCAGGTACAGTCCTTTTCAACCTCAGCACCAAAATGCACAAAAGGTTAAGCTTTCCTATTCAGCACAACAAAATATTCAATGTTCCTGTACAGTCCAAACAAAACGATCCCCAGGAAGCATTTCAGAACTCCTCATTAAATGTTTCTTTTGCCCTTTGAATCTTACCCAGTGTCTAAGTCAAAGATAGTAGGAAAAAGCATCTAGAAAAAAAATTTTTTACATTTGCATAAAAACAATAAATCCAAACTAGTCAAGACTCTGCTGTAAGAGGAGATGGCGTGAGGCATGTACCACTCATTTGCATGTCAGCCACACACATTCACTACTCAAACCAAAGCCCCGCTACCAAGCCATATATATCAAACTCAGCCTGCATCAGAATATTACGTTTATTTTGATTTTCAATGATCAGCAACAAGCAAATATTAGAGCACAGATTCAGGTTCCTATATAAATAATTCTGACAGTGTTTATTTTGTTTGATGCAAAAAGAATACTAAACTATCCTTGACGCAAGAAGAATAGCAAACTGCTCTGGTTAATCAACCCAGTAGAGACAACAGCATTGCTAAAATTCAAAATCTCTTTTGCAATGATTAGTCTATTTGCAGTGATAAATCTATTTTCCAACCTAACTTCTCATTTTATCAGTTCAGTTTATTTTAGCTTTCCACCTACTATCATAACTTTGAAGAAAAACATGATTCTGTCCCAGCCAGATTTCCTGAAATCTTCCAAGTGAGCTTCTGTCTACTGATGCCCCTGACTTTTGGTCCAAAGTAAATGAAACTGTTGTGGAAATGCCAGTCTGACTACCCAGGATCATTTTCCAGAAAGCCAGCACTATGGCTATGTACATATCATCCTGCCAATTAGCTCTGAACGGACCTGAAAAGATCAAGATCAATCCAAGTATTGCTTCCTTCCCATTTATTTCTTGGCCTCTTCTCAGAATTTACTGAAGCATAAAGTGAATAAAAGAGGGAACTCTTGTCTACTTGGAAGTACACATAAATCCCCACCATTTCATGCTGGAAACCAACTGAAGTGTCTTTAAATTACTCTCATCAAGAGGCAGGTTTAGCTGACAACCTGCATGCTGGTGATTCCACACCTCATTACCAGTGCCTTCAACTACTTTTGCAATTAAGACATTAGCATGGGGTACTTAATAAAGCTCAAAGGGTCCAATTTGATGCAAACCGAAAAAGAAGGAAGAGCATTTGCAACTTCCACAGGCTTTCCCAGAAAGAATTGCTCGGGCACTACACTACCACAGTAAAAACAGGCTGGAGAGTGAAGTTCGATCCTCCCCTCCTAAAATGACCTTGAAAAGGACTACGCTGTATGCTGATGAAATTCAGTGAACTGAGAACAAGAACAAAGGCACGACTGCCAGAATGTGAAGTCCTCATTTGCATCTAAATTACATCAAATAATTACGAAGTCAGGCTTCCTTGTAATGTCATACTGGTTAAAGTGGATCTACATCCAAGCAAAAAGATTCCATTTTGCAAGGAAAATGGAAGCCTTGAAATTGATCAATTTGGATGCACAGCTGCTCTGAAACAGGTATATTAGGCTTACCTTTAAACTGGTTTTAATGCTTACCTTATAATAGGTGCTACATATACATGCATAAATGCTGAACATGGGCAGTCACCACAAACCTGCCTGGTGCTGGAGCTAACCAAAATTTAGCACCCTTATTCAATAACCTCCCCCTGATATTTTAACAAGACTTCTAATCACCTCATTACTGTGTTTTGTAGCTTACAAGAAACACGCATTCATTCAAAACCAGTATCTGTTGGTTTCAGTTTCTTTGAAACCAGTAACCTAGCAAAAAGCAGCTAACTTCAGTGGTGTAGTGCCAGCTTATAGGTAGAAACTGGCTCTATCTATGATTTTTAACATACGGGGCATTTTCTAAAACAAGATGGACATCCCATAAGAAAACATTTACAGCAAGAGACAGAGACCTCAAACTCAACTTCTCCCAGTCCTGTTACTAACAGATTTCTAGATCTGAAGCAAGTAGAGGCTTTGATGTGATGAAGCTTCATTTACAGAAAATAGTCCAAAGAAATGTTTTGATTCAAAATAGTTTTTTTTTTCTTTCTCCAGTTAAACACAAATCATTTAAAAAATCTCAAAATGAAACTGGAATGCTTTAATTTTCGCCAGTTTGTATTTCTGATGTTGAAGTTTAGCACAGGATACTGTCCTTGCTAAGCTCTTCTAGAACCACGTAGAAAGGTAGAGAAAGTGCTATTAGCTCAGTGTCCAAAAAGAAGAAAATCTTTATCTAGCATATTCCTTGATGAACCAAGCTGTATACATTTTAAGGTTCCCTACTTCTCGTTATCTTTGAGTCTTCTCTAAAATTTCTTACACTTTTCTCAAAGTTTTCCAGATCAAACTGCTTGCTTCAGCCATGCAATTTCTTACATGTATCTCCAACAGCATGGCTGACTGTTCAGCTGAACCCAGCTCTTAGTCAGTCCACCTCCAAGCAAGCTGCTCTGCTCCTTCCAGTATTCCCCCAGAGGAGGTCTGCTTCTCAGGATTCATCAATTTCACTCCAGGTAGCCATTCCCTACATCCCTGCCTTTTTGTCAGGCACCTACAAACTTCTTCACTTTTTTTGTTGTTGTTGTTGTTTGTTTTTGTTTTGTTTTTTTTTTTGTGATCACAGGAGCTCCAGAGTCAGAGTGGCCACTGACACCTATTTGTTTGGGCTCGTGGTACGCTTTTTTTTTTTTTTTAAACAGGTATATCTGCCACTGATTTTTATTTTATCTGGATAAAACCATCTACATCCAACTCCTGTTTTAAGCCAGGAAATGTGTATTATCAAACCTTTAGACAAATTAAAGAAGCATCAAAAAAGACTAAGATAAAAGATGGGGAGAAGGGAAGGGAGAAAGACACGTAAAACCTGTGATTTGTCTGAGTTTCCAGCAGCTCTGCACTGGGTTCCTTGGAAAGGGATAAGACTGGCAGAAATCCCATCCCAATCCTTCAGGTTCTCAGGCAACTTCACCTACCCCATTTCAGCTAGGAGTTGTTAAACTAAATTTTATAAAATCTTGTTAATGCAGTTGTTTGGAATTGATCATTAGGGGTCATAAGACACTAGATAAATAGCTTGCTTTGTAACGGTCCTGCAAATCTGCAAAAGGTAAATCTTACAGGCTTAAATAAAGATAGGTAAAGACAAGTCAGTGGTGCCCACCATGATATATTTTCTTTCTATGTTATCTCATTATTACTAACTCTACCTGGTTGAATTAGTTCATTTAAGTATCTGGGAACCTGATTGATTCAGCACATTAGAAACTGATGAAGAAAACCACATCTAATTCTGAAATCCAACTAGCAAACGGAATTATGTGGCTCCCCGGAGGAACACCTCAGCTATAACTAATAGCGCCAGAGCCTCAAGGAACCAAATTACATTCCAGCACACATGCATACACACAGGAAGAAGAGACACCAGCGCAGACACGGCAAGGAAGACAAATCTCCTTGCTCCGGTTGGTCTGCAAGGCCTTCAGCGTTCTCTTCACGCAGTGTTTTGTTTTTCCATCGCATGCAGTCAGGGTGCCTGTGGAAACTGCTGGGACTAAACTGGGAAGCTCATTCCTCAATTACACAGCAACAGAGCCAAGTTGAGCAAGTCAGTGTTCATTCTGGTTTTGTCTTGCTCTTGTCCAGTTCCTTTTGAGCCCAGAACTCCCATCACTTTAATGACTCCTAATTCAGTGAGAGAAAAGGGCAGGAAAGGTTCCTCTGCCTCACCCTGCAATCACTGAAATATACAGTGACCTGGCTCTACGTATACCTTGGCCAGATAGTTTTGTCCTTCCTCACTACTAAGTCCTTCAGATAGCAATCTGTTCTCAAGCAGCATGGATCCATTGCAACTAAAAACCACTCACCAGTACGCAACATTAATGCAGCTGATCTTTACAGTCCCTCTTCCCCACACCCTCACAAAATTGAACTTACATGTACTTACAGTTCCAGCTGGTAACAGGTTGGGACAATAATGCAGGGGGGAAAAATTAAGGAAGATACGCATCTCACTGCCATGGGGTGACTTACAAGGTCACGTGAAATACAGACAACATTACTGAGTATCTTTGAATGACATGCAGTGCAGAAATAGGAATGTCTGTATTAAAACGAACCATTTGGACTCCTGTGTTGTCATCATTTTTCTTCCTAGCATCAGTATTCTGGCAAGTTGAGTCATTTCTTTTTATATAAGAAAAACAGCTACCCAATGCATGGTCAGTTATTACTGGTTGTCCCACCAGTTTATTAGTTCAACTGCAAGTGTAAACCACAAAACTGAAAGGCTTCAATGGCTTCCACTCACACTCTAGCCCCACAGGGATGCTGCACATTTCTGTGGTGATTTACACATCACCACACCTGCTTGGACACTGGGAGACAGAGCTACAGCTCATCAAAATGGATGAGATACACTGCAATGATGTCAACAGGCTCTGGAAGGAAACCCTTGTGGTGATGTGAGAACAGGAAAGGCTGAAATGCTGCGTTCTGTAAAAATAAAAGTGCTGCTTATACATATGAAAATTAAGCTTGAAAACGCTTACATATATAGTGTTAAAGTAATCAATTCCCCCAAATGAGGTTGGGTAGGAAAACAAGCAAACAAAAAACCTGTAGACATCTCTATTTGCATTCCTTCCAATATAAACATAGCTGGGGGAGACAGAGAAACAAAAGTAATCTGAAACTAGAAGTCAGATTTTCTCCAGTCTCTGCCCTAACTACATCAGACACAGATTCTCTCTCTCAAACATTCTTAACCTGAACTTGTGCTTGTCACGAATTTGCTGTTCCTTGACTGTGCCAGAACAACACAGCCGTTGCAGTGCTGTCATTTTCACTGAGCATAGCTGGACTCGCGCACATTTCGTTGTAACACAATGATACCCAGGTAGGTAAGGCTCTATGTAATCATCCAAAGAAACTGAAGCAAATTCAACTGCTCAGGCCATGGCAGAGACATTTTCAGGCAGTGCCTGAAGATTAAAACATCAGGAGAGACACCTTAGCTGTGATCCACCATTAGAGCTGCTACTTGGAAGCATCCTGTCTAAAAATGTTCAGTAACCTTTCAAGTACATCACTTGACCTCAGAAAGTGCTTGCCTCAGGTCCCTCTGCCTAATTTTCAGTATTTCTGAGAAAAACATTTCCAAGCTGCATGGCTGTACTGTTTTTCTTCTTTCCCAACTAGACTCAGAGCTCCAATGCACTGTGCATAAAAACTTACCAAGAGGCACAGCAATCCTGTGAAGGAAGGATGCAGATGAGTAAGTTTCCGCCTTGACTTTATGCTCACGAGCTACAAGGAGTAAATGAGGGAGAAAATGGGTGCCCTGTATCTAGAGACCGTCCTGTTAGCCCAACAACACACCTGGTATGTGAAGCATGAAGCACCCTCTCAGCCTTATATCCATGCCCAACCCATAGTAAATGGCCTGCTGGAGGAAACCATCTCCAGATGCTAATTTTCAACTGTCTCAACTGCTTTAAAAGTTTCCCCTCTTTCACTCTCACTTTGCACTTTTGGGACTTCTGCAGGCATGTAGGAGATGAATTAACACCCAAGGGAACAGAAGGGCAGGGCTGGCATTCAGCTGCCTGCCAGCAGAGGCATGATCCTTCTTTCCCTCCGCTGGTTAACTGTGGGCTCCAGAACACAGCCTGGTCCTGGGAATTTCCGAACCTCACAGAGACTTTGCCTTAAAAGCCTACCAGAAACCTATACAGCAGCAATTTCCCAAATTCATTCTAGCACTAGATGACCTACATGAAGTCCTGGAAAACCTTTTTCCCCTCCCTCTAGTTAGGTTTGCTGATTTTTCTTACAGGAAAGCGATTAGTTGGGAGCAAAAGACTGAAATGTATTGAACATTAATAATTATTTTCAGGCTACTGCAGTCAGGCACAAACATGCCTCCTTATAAATCAGTTGCTTTTTTTTTTTCCTATCTTATAAGAGCTGTAATGAAAATAAATGCATTACAAATACAGACAGGGCTGTAAATAACAACTTATGTCTTATAGCTGAATATAAATAGCAGTACAGAAACTCTCATTCCTCTGTTGCAACAGACAAACAAGTCTGACTTTTATTATTGATAATGAATGTTTTGCCTTGCATAGAATCTTTCAAGCCCGATGGATTTTTAAGTGTTTCATAGTACAAACGCATGAAAGAACCAGTTCTGGAACAGGGGACAGCTTAATGTACGCCTCTCAAAGTTTTGTTTTAGGTAAAAGGAACAACAAAAAGTTTGACCCTGCAAAAAAGTCTGAAATATTTGCAGTAAAAACAGTCTGTTGGTCCATATTTGTATGTGCTTCATGATCCCATAATAGGAAGGGAGAGAAGTAAAAGTGAGCTAAGCACAGACTGTGCGAGAGGGAAGGTGATGAGAACACAGGAACAATGACATCAGGACTATTGAAAAGTGAGGAAAGGAGTGAGAGAGAAATTATAGAAACACGTGCTGAAGTTGAGACTCCCCCACACATTTTATGTTGGCATAGTTACCAGGACTATGCACAGATTCAGGTGGGAAGGCCAACCATGGTATCATTCACAAATGAGCCATGCCATCAGGCCAAAGGGAACTGAAGATGTATTAAAACAAGTAATGTCCATGGAGACCTCAGCAACCTGTACACTGCATTTCCCACACATCAGCCACTTCTTGGAAGAATTCAAATTGCCCAACTATTTTCCCTTTAATAATCTTAATAATAACAAAAAAACAATAACATGCATTACAAATTTTCCATCAACTGCACCCATCACAATTTATTTATTTTATTAACATATTCTGACTTGCAAAGCAAAAATTGTTTCTGAAAGGTTAACACATCACGAATGGATCAGAAAGCCTAACACAATTGGTAATTGATCTTGGATCAGGCAACAGCTTTCTGTTCTTGGCACTCCTCCTGCAGCTGAAGCTCCAACATAGTCCAACTGCACAACGGAATAAACGCTAGCACTAATGAAAACAAATGACTTTGGCTACGACTTACCATGTACAGATCCTTGTTGATGCCCAGATATTTCCCATTTCCACAACCAACATCAGCAACTATTGACCCTTCTGGTAGCGACCTGAGAAACTCCACAATTCGGGGCCACGGGCTATGCCTGGTACTGCTGAAGTGTGTGGCAATCTCTTCGTACACCTTGTGGACATATTCCTGCTCCAGCTCTGAGGCTTCCATCTCATTGTGGGGAAACGATGGTTGTACCTGTCTTTGCTGTCCTTTCTGGCTGTCACAGACAGATGGGTAAACTAGATGTACCAACAGATATGCAAACAAGAACATCTTTTTTTAAACGAAGTCATTTCATATTAATTAAACTTACTTAGCAAAACAAAACAAAAATAAAAGTGAAATATTAAATTGCAACAAGTGTTTCATTCCTTCCTTTACCTTTTAAGAACTGAAACACAGGTCAAACTGCAGCACCGCTTGATGATTTTACAGCAGGCAACCTGCCCATGTGTGCCAGAGGCTGTCTGCAGTGATCACTCATCCTACTCTATTAACAAGGTTTGTGTTTTCAAAACTGAGACAGTGCCCCTAGCATCAGAGACCATGCCATTGCAATTCTGCCTCTGAAATTCCCATGAAATGATGTTCTGAGGGCACAATTGGACTTCAGGTTCCACATAACAACTGAGCAATCTATCAATTATTATCTGTACTGCCCTAAGGCACTTACATGGTTCTATCATTGCAGATCTGACTGCATTTCCCACTCTAATGTACTTATTTTCACAAAACTACAGTCCCCTTCAAATATCCAGAACTGAAGAATAGTAGCTACTTCTGTTATATTACATTTTTCCAGCACCTAAGGTCCCAAAAACCACAAGATTAATACAGAGTCATCTGACTCCAGTGTTAGACAAATGCCTTCCTGTATACTGAAACTCCAGCAACCACGCAGATGCAACTAATTCAAACCATACGGTATGCCTAACCCTGTAGTGTTTAGGAACAACTCCCAGGACTGCCAAAATTATCTAAAGGCATAAACCGATTTGCTCAAGAAATGTGCTTACATATTGATGAATATCAATATCAATAACAGTTTTGACTGGGAGATCACCTGAAGACACTTACTGCAGTTGCAAGGGCTTCTCCTCACTTTCCTGAACGTAAACGATGTCCTTGTTTTCCTTTGATTTAGTGTTAAATCTCCAACATCAGCAGTGATCGTTCCAACTTTCTGTCCCAGCTCAGAAGCTTGAATGATATCATATTTTCTGGGTGTAATCCTAAAACAAAGTAACACAAAATCAAAGAACAATTTAATTTGCATCAGAAAAAAATAAACAATCCATCTTTATAACAAGGCAATTCTTAAATGCTCTGACAAGTGTGATTACAACATGCCATTTAATGTACAGCTGCTTCTATTTTCAGCTTATTTAATTTCAGAGAACAAAAAAAGAAGTGGTGACACGTAAACTAATGATGTTAATTAAAGTGTTATTTAATTGAAAGGAACTACGTTTCCCTTCCCTTACTTCCTTTCCCTCCATAAGTTCAATTATTTTTAGGCCTTTATCTGAAATATATTCGTTAAAGATAAAATACACTAGTAAAAATGGAGGCTGTGGACTTAGAATAGTATTGACCAGCTCTAAACTGGCAGATTGAAGGTTCTTGTTACAAATGAGCCTTTTCACAAAGCCTGCTTTGCAACAGAATTGCTTTTCCATTTATTGACTGCAGAAGATGCAAAGACTAGCACTTCAGAGATCTGCAAAAATGCCTGAAGGGTGCAGCTCTGCTGTTCATCTTTCTTGACCAAAATCTATCAATCAAGTGAACTGGGAACAGAGCTTTGTAAGCTACTTCTGGCTTTGACGCAGATCTTAATGGAAAAGAAAAACATTTTTGGAAGCATAAAATTCATAAAATGAAAGCAACTTGGAACATTTTTTGGAGGTGAAAAAAGTTTCAAACAATTTTATGAAGAGATTTACATCGCAAAAAGTACCACAATGTAGAATTTTGAATAGCTCTACAGTAGATCTCTTAAAATTGACAAGAAGAAAATGAGAAAGTAAAATGGGAAACAACATGAGGTAAGAGATACAGCTGCACCCACATGTGGCTTCCTATCGCTTGCACATGGGATAAAGTAGATATTCTTTGAAGAAAATCAAAACTCTTTAGGGAAATAGCTTGGTACTTCAAAGCTGCTACTGTCACTGATACATTTCCCTTTCCTGAACTTAGTCATCAAGGAGACAAATGCAGAAATTTTCCCAAGGAAAAAAAAAGGAATCTCTAAGGAATTGGCCTCAGTGAAGCCTCTTCAGAGCTGCTGACTTCAAAGTCCTTGATTCCCAGAAGGAAAAACTCTCAGTATAAAACTGACTTCCATATTGGTTAGCTGAGTTTAACCCTCATAAGCTGAGCTAGAAGCAGGGGGAAAAGTCTCTGATATTTTTCAGTAAAGCAGAACAGTCTCAACTCTTACTGCTACTGCAACTTTTTTGCAGGTCACACGAAACTGCTGATCAGTGCCTGTGCTTAACCAAGCAGAAGAATGATGTGAATGCCAAGAAGGCAGCCTGATCAGCAGGCCAGTAATTTGTTGTATGTCACCTTTCCTACCGCAGGGAAGCCAATCGTTAGTCCCATCACAGAGAGAGAGCACAGGTCCTTCCTGTCTGGAAATCACTGATGGTCCATGGAGATCTTGCACAAAGACAACACAGGGCAGTCCTAGCAGAAATCTTCCAGAGACAGCCACGAGAAGCATGGGATCTAATAAGAAAGCTGCCTTGTCCATGGCAGTTAATGAAACTACGATGAAATAACCAGCTAACAATGGCCAAGATTCCCTTGACAGCAGAACTTCAAATCCCAAGTTTGCAGTTTTGCTATTTGATTTTCTCTTTATGTAAAGTATTTTTGAATCTGCAGCAATAAGCTGTGAATGCTGTGAATATTTTCAGATATAAGTCTTCTTTTTCTGGGCTCTGTGGTTCCAATCTACATGCTTTCTCCTTTTGTCCATGCTACAAGAAAGAATGCTAGATAAAGGCCGGACTGATAACAATATTCTCAATGTCAACAATAAAATGCTGTAAAAATCCTTTTCCTGCGCACCTTTTGTTAACAGGGTTAATTAAAATAAAATCTCTAGTTCTCTTGGCACCCAAACATACAAAGTGAATACATTTCCAGAATGATTCCAAAAATGAACCTTTTGCTCTCTGATTTGATTTCTGGGGAATAGATAAAAGGCATCACAAACGATCTTAAATACATGTTGATGTTATGTATGCAAGTGAATTAACTACACTTGTTCGCTGGATTATTCATCTCATTAATTGCAACAGCGTATTTCACTAGCATGAAGGAAAACTTGCTCCTTACTGGCAAACTGTGCAAGCCCACCCTATTATCTCTGTTCTCCTTGGTTTCAGAAGATGCCCATTAAGTAACAAAGTGCACCAGGTGAAGCTGAGAGAAATATCTGATGCTGCAACAATAGGTACTTCAGAAAAAAAAATAAGAAAAAAGATAAAAGAAAAACATAAAAAGTGTTACCCATTCTGAAATAAAGAGATTCCAATACCCATCTACCTCAGTTGAGCATCTGGACCCGCTACTGCTTTTAAAAATATTTATCATAAAAAAAAAAAAAAAACGCTATTTTTAAGGAAGGCAGACAAGCACCAGGAATGGGAATATATGGGTAGAAAGTCCCAGGGCTGGAGATACCCTGCCAGCTCCCCTGGGCCAACTCCTGGTCCCCAGGCCAGCAACATCACTGACATGGAAGCAAGTATGTTCTCAGATTTGTAGACAACCCTTCCAAAAAAGACTGACAGTATTTGACAGAACAGAGTAAGAAGTCTATAATGCTGGACTTCATTGCCCTGGACTTCTTTCAGGTTGGAAATGAGGAGACATTCCTTCTCAGAAAGAGCAGTCAGGCACTGGGACAGGTTGTCCAGGGAGGTGGTGGAGTCACCGTCCCTGGGGGTGTTCAAGGAGAGGTTGGACGTGGTGTTGGGGACATGGGTTAGTGGGTGACATTGGTGGCAGGGGGATGGTTGGACCAGATGATCTTGGAGGGCTTCTCCAACCTTAATGACTCTGTGATTCTATGATTCTATAATAATGCATGTCAGGAGTACCAGCTTCTTTTTACAATTATTTAATTTAACGAGGGAATATACAGGTAGTGTAAGTGCTCTATAAAAATGAACAATGTAAGCATCGTTGGGGAGTTCATATTCACCCTTCTTCATAATACAAATTAACCAGTAAAATTAAAAGGCAGAAAGTCTGCCAATAAAAGGATTTGATGTTTAATTTACACAATGTAATTAGTCTCTCCAATTCACTGCTGTAACCAGTGACTGCTTGGGTCAAACAAAGGAAGAAACATTTATCATGGGCATTTTTGTCCAATACAAGGGTTTACATATTATTCCTCTGAAGTACACTACTGTCACTCTCAATCCTCACCAAGTTTTTAGCTTTCTTTGTCAATTTCAGTGCTCCTATTGTAAGTATTTCCCAGTGGTTCACGATTTAAAAATCTTATTGAAACTCTACAATAAGCAAAGCCTCAAGACACCTTTAAAGAAATCTCTTTTCCTAAGATCCCAAACATGTTCACTATACTGCAGCCTTATCAGTAGTTAAAGTGGTCCTAAATCAATGGGAAAGAGCCCAGGAGGACTTCCCTTTGTGACCTTGTGGACTGACAACTAGCTTCCTAAAATTCCCATTTTTTTTTTTCTTCAGTTTAACCTGAGCAGCATCTAGACAGAGGAGAGAACGTGTATAGTTATCTTAAAACCTCTTGGTTTCTTTCAGAGTAATTTTAAATACAGAGTAATTTTAGATACAGATAATACATTATTTAATACATTATCAAAGCAAATGAATAACAAAATTTAATACATTATCAAAGCAAATGAATAATTTACTTTCTCCTCCTATTATCAGCACGCATGGGCTCTTACACATACCCATGTGTCCACAGGTATCTAGATTCTCCAGACATCACCAATAAACTGCATCGGGGCAGCAAAACTGCCACTGTGTGGCCATCAGGGTGTTTGAAATCCATCACAATCTAAAAAGAAACAAAAACAACCACCAGCAATGAACATGGCTTACAGAGCATCATATACATGCCAGGCATTCCCAAGTCTCAAGCTTTGTTTGTTTCTTCAATGTGTTAATCAGAATATTGCCACAAAACAGCTACGTATGTCCTAAACAAACAAAAGGTTTCTATCCTACAAGCCTTAAGATCCCTTCCTTTCAGCAGTGTGTTCAAAAATTTAAGGCTGTCACAAAATTTTTAAACATGTTATCTTATAAATAATACAATTGAAATAATAAATAGTTTATTTACACAATAACAACTTCATTTGCAAGATCATGGGAGCTCTGCTTAATCTTTATATGTACCTGTGATATAAGAAGAGATGATTACCTTACAACTAAAGGCAGCTGCCTAAGGAGAGGGGTCATTTGCTATCCAAGTTACACATCTGGGCTAAGGCTGTCAGCTACTGCCTTTTTGTAAGGTTTATGCAGAGAGAGACAAGTATCTCCGCAGGGCAATTCATCATAGTCTAAAATGCAGCTAAGTGATGTGGGATGACCCCAAGCCCTCTGGAAATGCCCATTTATTCTCAGCAGATTGAGCTGAGACAATTAACTCAGGGTAGATACATAACATTTAAAGAACAAGTATTAGGGCAGACAAATCATTTCCAACCTGTCCACGTTCTTAGAGCTCTGCAGCACAAAAAGGACAAGGAGTCTCCCAATATCCTGACTAAGATGCCAGCTACCAGAGCAGCCTTTTCTTATGTGCCACCTGGCTTCTAGCCATGGCAATATACTGAGGTAATGCTTTCAGCTTTACAAAACTTCCCAAATGAGAGAAAATCCTGCTGTGAAAAACAAGGAACAGGTCCTTTAAGCATGCCAAATGATTAAGACTTAACAATAAAAAAAACAGTGGTCAAAAATCATTCAAGTCATGGTTCTAGCTACACTGAGAACAAACACCATGAAAAGTGGTGCCACCTGATTTGTAACCTACTAAGGATGCAATTTAAAAGCAGACTTACTACGCTACACCAGATTGAAAGAAATTAAGCAGTTTTGCTTCTGCATACAGATGCATTAATCAAAAGAAAACAATGGTGCAATGATTAGTCATTCAGCACAAAAAAAAAAGACAATAAAACAAGACTGTTTTAAACACTATAAATTACCACTTGCAACTATTGCTATTTATTGTTGTGCACACTGGAGCAAACTACAATGCCATTTACATTTTTAGGGAAAAAAATTATTTATGCTTTAATACCAGCTACATAGAGCGCCAGCTTCTGCTCCTGATGAACTACATAAATTTGAGGAAGTAAATCAGCATGACGAACAGTGGGACAGAAAGGGTAAGAGAAACACGGAAAAACGGGAATACAGCCTACCTGTGAGCTCTGATTAATTACTACGAAACATTTCAACAGCTACACAAAAAAATGAATGGCAGCCACTTTCTAATATACTCCTTCGCTTGCACGTTGTAATTTCTTCCAGGTAAAGAAGCTTCACAGATCTAACAGGGCGGCTGCGTCACACAAAGCGTGGCTAGGCACATGCCTCTGTGAGAAGTAGCACTCTGGTAAGGTAAAGAAACCAGAGGATGACTGATCAAGAACAGTAAGTAGGGGAAAGGCATGAGAAGAAGTGAAGAGAGAAGTGGTTGGATTAAATGGATGAGAGGACACCTCAGCCTCTTTTGCTTCTCTGCCCAGCTGCTGCTCAGGGCCATGTGTAAGGAGCATGAGACTGGGTGCTTCAGGAGTGTAGCAGAATAAACTGAAAGAGAGACACTGTCCAAATTCCTTCCTTGGAGGCTCAGTTACCCCTATCTGCTGTCTGGGTCAGTAGTAGCAACAAAGCCCAGTTCTTGCAGATGACATTCAAGAGTTACACTTTCTCCAGGAGCCAGTGCTTGCCCTTTCTGTCGGGTCCCCTACACTTCCAGTTCCCATCTCTCTCCAGGGCCTGCAAGAGGACCTTGGCCCCTTTCACATTTTCATGTGGGGATTTACATTTCAGGCTGTATGAAGTATCTGGCAAATCTAATCCTCACCAGCAAAGGATCCCAGCTCTGGCCCTGCTCCCCACTCTCCTGTGTAGGGAAAGTTTCTGTATTATTATCTCACAGTGTGTGGCTGTTCCCCTTCTAAATGTATTTCACCCTTATGTCAAGCAATGATGATTTGGGGCAAAATATAAATAAAGGATTAATTTATTTGCAAATGAGCAATGACATTAGGTAATTAGCTGTAATGGGAAGAGTCAAAAATCCAAATTCAAAACTGATTTCTGTTTATGAAGCAGACAGATATCCTTAACTGAAATTCTGCACGGAAATTCTGCAATTTTCTCTTAACAAATTAGACACTGCAGTTCAGAGAGAGAATCAAATTTAAGGAACCCACTGTGAACATTTAAAGAAAAATTAGTGCAATTTCTGCGTTAATGTTTCATGCCTTTATCTATAATACCTGCACCTGAAGGCTTAAAAACCAAGCCAAAGTACTTCTGGTCTTTGTCTATGGTACAGTAGAGAGCATTTAACCCAGAAGGGTTTTGAAGAACCCCGTTCTTATCTCTGAAAAGCCTATTACCGACTGAAGCAGATAACATCCCCACACTCCTATATGTGTCTTTATCCTGACAGAGCATTCTCAATTGTCACTGTCACACACACACACAAAAGATTAACGCATTCAGCCCGCTTTTTAATTTACTAAGGACTCACAGTCAATAAAGTAACTCTGTCACTGCTGAATCAATCCGCTTCATGACAGCTTTGCTCCACGGGAGCTATTTCCAATTTCTTTTTTTTAACCTATTTACTTCTTTCTCTTAGGTGGCTGAGTCAATAAAGATCAAATTTCCTGCTAGCCCATGGTGCATCACCCAGGGATTACATTCAAAAATAAAGAGAGTGGATGCTTTGATCTTACACAACTTCTACCTTCTTTCTTTGTAGTGTGGAAGAAGTGTCTCTCTATATATACACCAAAAACTTGAAAGAAACACAAACAGCTAATAATACCTACTCGTGGATTTAAATATCTTGTCATGATGCCAGGTTATTTAAGAGTATTCATGACGAGGGAGCACATGAAGCAGTAAACAGCTTTCAAGGATGGCTAAACATCAAAGCAAAGCAACACCCACATCACAAACATTGTTCCTCTGGTATAAAATACAGCTAAACAAACACAAAAAAAAAAAAAAAGAAAAGAATCCAGCATGAAAGTAAAAGGGAAGAAAGTATGTTTTTCTTAACTCCTCAGGGAACGAGAAGTCTGTGCTACCTTTCAGTGCTGCAGTATTGTACCTCCCGAAAGTGCAGGGGAAAGGAGGTGAACAACTGGTCTATCAAATAAGTACTGATCCAAAGGCAAAACAGAAGTAGAGCAAGGGGACCGTAAGGACAATGTCAATAAGAATTTCACTGCTACAATGGGGAACAACAGTTTTTTTCTAAGCTTCATCTCCAATGCAATTTGTATTTGATGTTAATAGACTACCTTAGATGAAACACTCTGAAACTCAGAGAAGTGCAACATGGAATATTTTTCCATTCCCTGACATTATTTACTGAATTTTCAGAGAGAAAACACACATTATTAGCCTACACAGCAGTTTCCCGATGAAAAAGAATTTCTACTTCAAAGACAGCAGAGAGGTTTAAAACCCACACACAGAGCTTGAACAACACAGTGCAGAGATGAGAGCCTGTTGGCCTATGTGGGACTCAGGGAATCAATCAGTAACTTTCAGCATCTTTCATTGACTGCAAAACCCATACTAACTTACAAAATTTGGAATTTAGGAATATTCTGAATATTTAGGGGCAGAGAGTAGGATTACCTTTCCCAACCTATGTCATAGGAAATTTATCTTATGTAACCTGATATTTACATCCACTATCATGGTCTCTAGCCATGCTCCAGAAAATGAGTGCAATGATCATGATGATGAAATATTACTTCACTACTGCCTACCTCAAAAGTCTCTAACACATGCACCAGGCCTCACCCAGATCAGATTTAAGCTAAACCATACCAACTCATGCTAAGCTTGCTTATCTATCTAGACACTACAGTGACACTAATCAGATATTTAATATACTTCTAGGTTCTCTTTCTTCAAAAATTGTATTCAATATTTGATCCATGCAATGCATTATTTATTCCTATATCATCCTATTATTATATTATTTATATCCATATACATTATATATAGTATTTAGATTTATTCCTGTTTTATTTATTCCTCTTAGTTTTTAAGCATTCATTTCCCAGACCTCAATTATTTCAAAAAACAGCGTACTGCGTTCTTTTCCTTCTGAGGTCTCACCTTGCTGTTAACTGTCCTTATAACCACAAGGAGATTGTATCCATGGAACAAGATAGCAGTACTTCTCCCAGCTCAGGCTGAATGTTTGCCTACAGTACAATGTATCAATTGCATTACTACTGCTTCCCTCTCTCTTCCACTACAAGTATAACTTTGTCCTTTCTGAAAAATACCTACCCAACCCCAGCATATGACCTCAATGTCCTCCTGTGAATCCTGAGACAGAGACTTCGTCAAGTTCTCAACATCCAGTTTATTCAATTTTGCAAACATGCCATTTTAAATCTTTAATAAATGGCCTCCCTAGGTCTTAGCTTAAATTATTTTAGGACACAGAAAGCAGGAGGCTAATGCTGTTAGTCTCCATTTCATTTCTTCTATTGACTTAGCCTCCTCTGCAATATTTTCCATCCTTTCAGTCGTATGTCTTCCCTTACATCCACGGGCAGTCCTACACTGACATACTGGGAGCTGCATCCACCTACACCAGAGCAGAGCATGCCCCACATGCATCAAATCTCTCATCTTCTTTTCCTGATACTGTGTAAGTTGTACTGTTAGCTCTGTACTGGGACTACAGTTCAATGAAAGAGCACAAGATGACTACAATAAAAAGGCAAAATCCTAATCCTAGTGGTTTCCAGAGGGCTCAATCTGCTCACGATT